AACCCCAGCCCACCACTCTCACTCAACCTCATCTCCTCTCCTCGGCTGCCAACCCCTCTCCTCCACCAACTCCACAACCCAACCACCCTCAACCTCACCACCCCATGCAAACCCACCTTCACCTCCTCCACCTTTTTCCCCACTCTCCTCTAACCCAAGCACCATCATAAACCTCCCACCCATCCCCACCATTTATCCCACGCACACAGGGCCTTTGGTTCTCCATTGTGGGGTAAGTTTCTCCTTCTCTTTCTCTTTCACATTTTTGGTATCAATGGAGGATGGACTTACATGCAATGGAGATTTGTGATTGTTTGGGAGTCGTTCTTATAATTGCAGGGCCAAAAATTTTTGGGTTTCATCCTCCACCCCACTCATTTTCACCTTCTCCTTTTTGTGGTGCACGCCAGGTGTTCGCTGAAATTCCTCAACCAAGTCCACCTCTCTAAATGTCTCGTGCCGATCCTTCTCGCCCTCCTCGACCCTCCTCGGGTGCCCGTGCTGTCACTCGTGAGCGACCACGTGATCCTTGGGATCGCAAACAACTCAACTACGAACTCTCATTTCCGCTCACGGATGCCTTTGACATTCTACCCACAACTTCGTGGGTTGTCGCCGAATTGACTAACCGACGTCTGCAGCACATTTGCGCTCCCCTTGCCTGGGTTGCCTACCCCCGTGTAGTGCGCCTCTTCTATCAAAATCTCCAACGCCCTGAAGAGCTGCCCATTTCTCTCACTACATCCATTGATGGCACCACCTATGCTTTCACTATGACTGACATCATTCAGGTTTCTGGTTGCCCCATTGAGTGCCCCGATGACATTGTCAATCGTGAAAATCTCCCTTTATATGAGGAGCCGGATACATTAACTGTGGAGCAGATTGCCGCTGCCATTTGCACTATTGACGATCCTACTCGGCCCCGGTCTTTTATCCGCAAAACCAATCTTCCGGAAGGCCTATGGTTCATTGACACTGTCTTCAAGCACAATGTCTGCCCTTTGGTGCATAGCACCGAGCGTCGGGGCCTCCTTCTGCAAGCCTTATATGCCATGGACCAAGGCTAATGGTTCTCCATCCCCGAGCTCATTTGGACCACATTTATGAAGTTTTGGCATGATGCTCATAATGCACGGGTTCCGCGAGTTGAAAATCAGAAATTGCCTTTGCCATTTTTCATCACTCGGCTCCTTCAGCACAAGGGTTTCGTTGTTCCTCCCCATGAACCAAAAGGCGACAAGATTAAAATTTTTACCCAGCGCCGGTGGATCAATGTTCTTAGCCATTCTGGTACCCCTCAGCCTCCTGCTCCCCTGTTCATCCACGCTCCTCCTCCTCCTCCTTCTGAGGATGCCTCCACCGCCGCAGCCACTGCAAGGGTAGAGCCTCCGGTCGACTCTCACCAGGACCAGGCTTTCATCCGGGCTTCCATTGCCGGTATTCATGAGCGACTAGATCGTTTTGAGAATTCTTTGTCCGCGTGCACTCAGACTCTGTGTGAGACTTCTTCACGTGCTGAAGAAGATCGTCGTCTCGCTGCTGAAGACCGCCGTGTCGCTGCTGAGGAACGTCGTTTGGCTTCCGCTGAACGGCGTAAGACTCAATCTCTCCTCCATTCCATCCTCGCCCGTTTACCTTCTGGACAGTAGCTTGTTGCGAGTGTGGACCTTATCTTTTTGTTTCATATGTAACTATTTCTCTTGTATCTTTTGTTTTCCTTTTGAACTGTAAGAATTTGCTATGTATAGGTTGCTCTAGTCGACATGATCCCTGTACAGCTCTTTTTGTCATCATGTAAACTCTTTTTGCAATGCAAATTCTTTCTGTTCTGTTAACTTTCGCTACATTCTTTTTCTGTATTTATGCTTGTGCTATTAATGCTGTTTGTGGTTGTTTCTTTTTGTTCTTCATGTTGCTCTCCAGGTTGCGCAGTCCAATTCAAGTTTGGGGGTTTTTGTCTCACAATGCCGTTTCCTCCCCCTGGGTATTGTTGTTCCTTTTTTTTACTCTTTGTCATTTTTGTCTCTCACTTGACTCCATGTCCCACATTGAGGACACTGTGTAGTTTAAGTTTGGGGGTGCATCAAAGCATTCTTGGCATATTTTTGGTTTCATAATTTTTGCTAAGCAATGATAATATAACTTGACACTTGTCGGAGATGAAACATATGTTTAATACCTTGTGTATAGAAGCAATTGAAATTTTTGAAAATAAAGAAAAATTTGAGTTGAAATTATCATGTAGATTCAAATTAGTCTGTATAAATGTTTCAATTAGATTCTTGCTGGATTTATACTCTTATAAGCTTCACAATGCACAGATGCACATTGGAAACTTAACTGTGAGGCATGCAGCTTGATCAACCTTGACCTTGGCCTAGTTAATCTGATTTGATGAATCTGATAAATGAATATCTTTGGCATGATTTAAGTTAAAAAAAAAAAAAAAAAAAAAAAATGAATGAAAAATGACCAGTTGACGTTCGTAGCCTTTCCAACTCGAGCTATTAAGCCATTTGGAGTGTCTCTACACTTAACACCCTAAAGCCGTCTGGTTTGGGAGTTGTTGGCCTAACGCTTGCTACAAGGGTTGGTTAGAAAGCTTAAAGGACTTAAACATTGCATGGTCATTCAAAAAAAATTGTAATAAACATGGTTAGCTAGAGTTCGTAGCCTTTCCAACTTGAGCTATTAAGTCATTTGGAGTGTCTCTACACTTAACACCCTAAAGCCGTCTGGTTTGGGAGTTGTTGGCCTAACGCTTGCTACATAGGTTGGTTAGAAAGCTTAAAGGACTTTAGTATTGCACAACCATTCTATGTTTCGCTTATGAGTTGAAATAAATTGTTAACAAGCAACAAAAGTTGTCTTGAAAATAAAATCATGCCTTAGGGACTTCATGTAAAAGGGAATTCATTGATTTGAAAACTTGTGCCTTGGAATTGGAAAAGAAAGTAAAAGCCACATGTTGAGAATCCAATTCACTTTCACTGGAGTTTGAGTTATTTCCATTTAAGAGATGACAATTGAATTATTTATATGGACTATGATGTTGATGCATGCATGTTGAAATGGTTTTTCCCATTTTTTGTATCAATGCTTCATATATGCAAGGTAGTTTTCCCAATGACCCCATCTCCAGTTTTTGTCTGTTTCAAGTTGTATTTGAGCTATGTATCTATCTCATTTTACCATGGATGATATTTTTGTAGTAGCATGCCCATGGTTGTCTTTTCATTATGTTTTTCATTGTAGTTTTGCTAAGTAACTAGCAAAATGTAAGTTTGGGGGTGTGATAAGCGCCGAATATTGTATATTCAAGCGCCCTAAATTACATTAACAAAGTCCAGTTATTAATTATTTTATGTAGATTAACTCCATTTGCATGTTTTTATGCATTTTCAGGTTAAAGTGCAAAAAGGAAGCAAAAATGATGCTTTGTGGAATTTTGAGCAAAAAGGATGCCATTTCTGAATTTCTGGCAGCAGTGATCCTGACTTTTGTCACCATTTTCGACCTAGTAAACTCAAGAACTAGACTTCCATCATAACATGAAAGATTTAGATCTCTGAATCAGCTTTCCAAATCTTCAAGTGGTTTATCATTCGGAGTTCGGAGCAGAGAGTTATGATCTTCGTAACAGAGGTGCGCAAAACTGCCTGGCAGCACTGAAGTACTGCCTTTCTCCCCATTTTCGACCAACCAGACTTGAGAATTGGGTCTTCATCAAAACATGAAGTTTTTAAAAAACTGAATCAGCTATCTAAATCTTCAAACAGATCATCATTCGGAGTTCAGGGCACAAAGTTATAGCAGTTTTCCCAAAATAGGTCAGCGCTGAGCAAGAGGAACATGTTGCACATTGCACTAAGTTAGAGTGCTCGAGATCACTTTTCGAGTGCTCGAAAATCAGGCAGATTGCACTCGGAAATGGCTCAATTTCAGCCACTTGCACATTGGTTTCCTCAATGCCATCTTCCTTCTTTATGAAGTGGTTGGAGGTGTTCCTTGGAGGAGAGAGAGGGTGTGTTGGAGAATAAAAAGCTACCCAAGGGCCACACATTATTTATCTTTGATTTTTGCAAGATAGAGGAGGGAGAAGAGAGCAAGAAAGGAAGGTGTTCTTGAAGCTAACAAAGGGGAGCTCGAAAATTGGAGATGGAGTTCAAGCTTCTTCTTCATTCTAAGGCTCCAATGGGTAACTAACTCCTCTTCTAGGGAGGTGATGAAACCCCTCCCTTGTAAGCATGTGTTAGTATAGTTTATTTTTGGGGATTACAATGTATTTTTGATAGTCTTTCCATAGTCAAGAGCCTCATTTTTGTTGTAATGAATGTTGAATGTTTATAAATGATTATTGTGAGTTATTCATCTTGTCTTGGATGGTTACTTTTCGTAATCATATTGCTTGCACTTCCATGGTGACAATGGAAGTTAGATCATGGAATGGTTTCAATGGCATGGAGTTGGAGAACTTAGATAGTTCATGGCTTAGGGTTTCCCTTTGATGGTCTATACTTGATTCTTTGCTTTATGTGCATTCACCATTTAAATTAGGGCTTGATAATCATTGACTTAGTAAGCATGTTCTAAGCTACATTTTAGTTTAGGTAGTTGATCATGTGAACCTTTGATGGTTTATTCTTGCCTTCCTATTTAAATGAACTTCTTGAGGATATTATAGCAACCTAGTATTGTTATGTATCATGACTATTCTTAACCTAGCATGTGTATAGGGATGGAGGTGGATTCATTTCCCTAGCCTTCTTTACTTATACTTCACTCCCTTGAATTCTTGCAATTTATTGTTTTATGCACTTTTAATTTCCTAGCTTAAGTGACATCCAACAAACCTCTATAAACCCCTTATCATTCTAAGAACAATTCTAGACACTTAGGTTGCCATAGACTAGCGCAGTCCCAGTGGTTTGACTTACCCGACCAATAGCCCTATTTTACAATGATTCGTGCTATTGCGAAGGTTGATGTATAGTTGATCAACCGATCAAATACAGAGCTGAAATGATTGGTGCTGGGATTGAGGCAAAGACAGCTTCGAATTTCCCTGAATAGTAAATTATGTTTAACAAATGTACTTAGAAATGAAGGTTTATTTACTACTGGTTAAACACTTAAACCATGGATTATTTGCATTATTTGGACATCATAACACCTAACTTACTAAGTATGGAAAAGAAAATCATGAAACCAGCAGATATCTGCACAACTCTTCGGCTGCCAACACGTGTCAATGCCAACAAACCAGCATTTTCACTGTAGAATGTGAGAAAAAATCAAGTTTTATTCCCCTGCTGATTAAGAATGAAAATTTGCAACACAATTTACAAATTTATTGCACAAGAATCTTACACTGATACTGAGGATCCATTCCCGGTTTCAAATATTCTAGAGACCAATATGCCCACTCCCTTCGATAAAGAACATAATTAAGATGATTAGAACACACAGGACATTAACAATTACAGAGTCAAATTTGGAGAAGTACTTTACTTATCAAAAAAAAAAATTTGGAAAAGTACTTTATGAGCAGAATTCATGATTCGCATTCAAAGTGACATGGCAGATTAGTTTCCCATCATTTCAAGACAAAGAGCCATCTTTTTAGTTAAATGCCACTACTATGTCAGATGAAAATTTTAGTTAAATTACATGTGAACCATTCTTTTAAGTTGGGGGGAGGTTCAACAATATTGAGTAGGCCATTAATTCTAATTATTCATTTTGGAAGCATCCCATGTAAGAATTGAGTGTGGAAAATTGTGCCATATCTAGAGTCTTTTAGGCTTAGCATTGAGGTGTTAGTGAAGGCAAAAATACAGACAAAATTATCACTAAGTCAATTTTACCTGCCAACCAACACCGCGACTAAGAATAGAAGGTGGCAAAGGAGTTGCACTAGCATGCCTTGACACAGCAATGAAGGCACTAGTGGACTGTTGACATTTCAAAAGTACATAAGAGATGAATAAATTCGCAAAGCTATCCACATTAAAAACTGCCAAAGAAACTAGTGAATCGATGTGGCTATGCAAAGTACAAAATGCCAATTATGAAAGCATCAAACTCTATCTTCATACTTAAAACAACAATAAAAATATATATATGTGTAAGTAAAAGAATCCAAAAATGAACTAGGCAATGTGAACTCTACTTGGAGAATGGTTAAGAAACACAAAAAAATTTATGCAACAAACAATGCAAAGAGAACGGAACTATACCCTTTTTCATTCTTTATTCTACAAAATTTGAAAGCATAATTCCATGTGACAGACAAAAATCAGTGCATCACTAAAAATATTTCGGAAAATAAAAAATGCGTCACTAAAAATGCAAACGATCAAAACATAGTCACTTGATAAAATTCAAAGAGTTATCGCCTATAGCAAAGAAACAAGCAAACTCACTTCAAATGCATTCAGCATTGCATTTTTTATTCTATAGTTTTTGAAGGCACAGCTCTATGGATATATCCATTAGAGAAAATCAATTCATCACAAAGAATGAAACTTAAACTCAAACGAATGAAGGAAGAATTAAACATCCCAAGAAAAGAGAACCGTTCTACTTTTGAAGGCAAAAGTGCATTGCACATAGCCCATAACAGAAAACAGGTGTGAGAAAAACTCAAAAATCAGTTGATAAAATTTCCAAAAAAAAAAGTATGCAAATACATTCTGTATTCCACGGCGAGATATGAAACTTGTGAAAAGATGCAATTCCATGTTTGCACTTAATAGAGACAAATGTAAGATAATAATATCAACAACAGATCATGTATTAAGGTGCCACAAAATTTATTGAAAATATTAACTGTAAACAAAGGTTCACATCAGTATATATCAATACCAAAAAGAAACAAAAGGCATATGTAAACAAAGGTTCACATTAGTAAATTAGTGACATTCATATCATTTCTCATGACCAAATTACTATCCTTAATGTGGTATCGCTAAGCAAAATTTTCCAACACTTCATTATGAACTTCAGTCTGTTTCAAAAGACAATATCTTTCAAAAGTTGAAATATATCCTAATTGCATCATATTAGTGCTGAAAACTATATACAAATTTTAAATTATATATGCAATTGTAAGCAGCTCTTAAGGAAAAAACAGTACCTGGAAGATTTTCTAATCTTTAATTTGTAAAAAATAGTTGCGGCTTCAAGGGTGAAGTACAGAACCTGAGAGGAACGCAAGATTTTTTATGCCTCTGACATCTCAATGCTACCAACTCGGCAGTTTAAAATTTAATAATAGGATCCTCAGCACAGGCAGCAAGGTCATTCCATTCTTTAATCTGAATCCAACTTTGATCCATCACCTTGCCATAAGTTGAACAACAGTGTTGTGGTCCTATCATATTCAAGAATGTATAGCCTTTATTCCCGAGGTTAAATGCGTGAATGAATGATTAATTATATCAAGAATACAATAATTTAGAATTTTGATGAGAATAGAAAAAAATCATTCAAGCAACTCAAAATAAAACAGTAAAAAAAAAAAAACCAAATAAATTGAGCAACTCATGACGCATGACTACATAAATCTACTAATGATGTAAATCAAAAAGCAAAACTCCCAGATTCAAAACCCATTATATCAAATAACAAGATATACAAAAATCAAAAGCAATTGAGTTGTAGAGATGAGAAAGAGAGAGACCAATCATAGAATCTTGGAATATATGATTTCTTAAATTTGAAATTGTTCCCAAATAACAAGTTAAATTTGTTTTATGTATGCCTTTTTGTAACCCCAAATGATATAACAAGGCATTTGTATTAATTAAAGCGATGTGTGTTTCTCTTTAGGCCTGCAGACAGGTATTTCACTGAACAGTTCCATTGGGTTTGTCATCCAAGCCAAACATAAAGGTGGTTCTAGTATGAGGAATAAACTGAAACAAATAACGGGGCAATTCAAATTCAGGCCATTACGAATTGCACATATTAGCCAAGTGTAACTATTAACTAACAATTAGATTTGGGACAACACAAGAATGCTGGATTTATTTTGGGTCCGGGTGAAGGGCATTTGCAATGGAGTAACTCACTGGGGGAGCATAAAAGTGAAAAAAATATAGTACAACACTCAGCTTGTTTTTCTCAAGACTTTAAATTACTTGTGCAATTTTAGTAAACTAAATTTGAACCAAATAAATATGATCTTTTAAATCAAATCCACTTGGGATTTAAGTCAAAGTGTGTGATTAATTATATGAAAACCTTTTCGTTGTAGAGAAAAGTTGAAGGCATTGCCTAGCAGTGATGAGTGGGGGCTCTCACTTTGAGTCATTTATTTATGTGTTGTGTTCATTAAAATTTACACACATTGTTAGATAGTTTAGAAATATTTATTCATTTAGTAAAATGATGAATAAATTTTTTAAATCAAAAAATGAAGATGTGTTATTCTGAACTTTGCCCTGTTGTACAGTTTAGAGTAAGTTGAATTTGTAAAACCAAAACAATAACAGCTTTAAACATAATTTTCATTGGTTAGATTCAAAAGATCTTATCTATTTGGTTCAAGCAGTCGTAAAAAATGCATTTTTTTTTTTCATGCTACGTTAAGCAAAAGCATAGTAGGAAATTTAAAATATGAATTCTATTGTACTAGTGATTTAACGAATGAAAATATGTTAACTCCAACAACCTACAAAAGTAAAAGAATCCTATCCACTCACACCAGCATTAATATAAATGTGTGTGTGTGTATTCAGTTCACGGTCTGCCATGGATATCAATGATACCTTGGTTAACTACTATGCTAACAACCCAATTTTTCAGCAATGGTGGTATGGTATTTCTAAAGGGAGAAAACCAACCGATATATTCGATGTTCAAAATGCTCTACATCAGATCTCCAAAAAGCTCAACATATATCAAATGTTCAACTGATATCAATTAGTTTTTGAACTCAATCCCATTCAAATGTTTTACATAAGAAAACGAAACAAATTCAAGTTTTAAGCCACATTGGAGGATTTTTCATATTATATGAATGTATTTTATTGTATAATGAATAATATTACAGAAAGTTTTAATCTTGTCTCTCAGCAACCAAACACAGAACATTAAGATTTACATTAGTCTCCAAGTTTTAACCTGGAAAGAGTTTTTAACAGTGCTTTGATCATAAAATGCCCCCAGAATCTATGCTTAATTAAAATAAGAATAAAATTAAAAAAAAAAAGAAGCAAAAGAATCAGGTAAATGAAGAATAATAAAAACTAACGTGGACGGATAAAACCTTAAACAATTGAAAATGAAACCAAAATTTTGATTACCTGCTAATAAGCTGGACGAAAGAAATTGAGAGCTACTTGATAATGACTTTAATTGTATTTTCTCCAAACTTCATTCCCCAAATCAGACGGACCTATGAAACAGATCTGATGCATATAAGTTCTAAAAAATAGAGAAACATAAAAATACTAAATAAATGGATGGAAAAAAAATATATCAGACAACTCGCGAAAGACGAAGCTCCAGCAAAATTCGTACCTAGGCAATTTTCCTCTGAAGGTGAAACTCGCAAAAGATGAAGCTCTAGCAAAATTCGTGCTTGGACTTAGAGACGGTTAGGGTTTCTAATGAATATTAGGAGTAATGACCTTTTTTGCGCGCCACCGAATGAAAACAATTGCCGGGAAACTTAACTTTTCACAAAAAGATAACCCTATTCCATATGGGGCCATGCAGGCCTGTTGTAGAAAGCTCTTTCTACAATGGGCTAAGCGAGCCTATTGTAGTAGAATACCTTCCTACAATGGGCCATGCGGGCCAGTTGTAGAAAGCTCTTTCTACAAGGGTTATGTGGGCCTGTTGTAGAAAATGTGTTGTTAAAGACATGTGTTTCTTGTAGTGAATAGAGGTGACGATGGTGAAATGCAGAGGTGGTTGTGGTGGAAGGTGGTGGGAGTTGGTGGCGATGGTAGTGGTGTTTGGAAAGTTGTTTTTTTTAAAACAAAACAATTACTTCGGAATGGAATGATCAAGAATGAATTTTCATTCTAAATGATCATTCATACTTTAAATTGCATACCAAACAAAGTAATGGTTGAAATAGATATTTCATTCGATTCCATTCATACACACCAAACACAACATAAGAGAAAGAGATGAATGATAAGGAAATAATTTTAAAAAATTAAATCTGCTAAGAGATATAGCTTATGATAGAACAAATTGAATTTTTTTTTTTTTTTTTTTCTCCTCACTTATTTGCAAAATAAAGGAGGATAATGACTATCAAGTTATTTCCGTGTTCCCGAAAATGTCTAGTGTGTCGGTTGTGTGGAAGTGTAACCGCGTACTGTTAGAAGTTTTTTATTTTTATTTTATTTTATTTTATTTCTTTTAAACCAAATATTTCCTTAAATAATTGTATCATATATTTCTTCATTAATTATGGACTCAGTAGTCCGAGTTCATGTGCATAAATCTATTAGTATTCACAAGGGAATGATTATTTTATTTATCCAGTAATATTTCTAAGAAACCCTCTCATGAAAAAAAGTAATGAGTTTTCTATCTTTAAAACGATGGGAATGCTGCAATAATTGTGAATTAATTTGATCAATAATGATCTAAATACCATCTGAAAAAAAGAAAAAAAAAAAAGAAAAAAGAACTATATGTAAGACCTGTTTATAAGTAATTGGAGTCAAAATGTTACAGTATTTGACCACACTCATGTATATAAGCAGTGAAAGGGGCTTTAATGGGCCATGGTATATCTAGGCATAAGTCCTACAAAGCTTATGTTGGCTCCACCTAAGTATGGCTTAATTCTAAGGATTGGTCGACAGTAATAGCAATTCAAGTCAATGTTCAAGCACTTAAAATATGTAAATTCCCAAAATTATTTATAATATGTATTCCAAATAATCTAATTAATAAAAAATCATGGCCAATTGAATTCCCAAGTAATTCTTAGACTGTTGGTAATTAAACATAACAACCAATTGAATCAAACAAAAGCCTTATCCACAGTAGAGTTGTACATTCCTCATAAAATACAAAAGAAGACACTCAAAACATAATAATATGTAAGAGGGAATTAGGGTTGACAATTCGTTTTCGCGGATCGTAATCGTGTCGTGTCAACTTAAGGGTATTATACTAAACAGCTCAACCCGAACACGACCTGTTTAATAATCGTATCAGAAACTTTCAATACTAACCCGACCTGTTTATTAAACGGGTTACACGTGTAACTCGTTTAATGACCTATTTATCAAAATAAAATTATATTATTTAAATTATTAATAATACTCAATAAAATAATAAATACTAAAAAAAAAATATAAGTTTTAATCAACCAAATTACTAAATAGTTTCTAGTTTACAAAATATTCAATTATAAGATACAAGTTTATATAGTAATTTTAGAACTTAAATAAAAATTTATTTACGACATATATAGTTAAACGTGTATAAACGGGTTACACGGGTTAAACCCCTCAACTCAAATACGACACGATTAACTAAACGGATTAATCGTGTCGACTTATTTATGATCCAAACTTGTTTAAGGTCAATCAAAACCCGTTTAACTCTTGTCGTGTTCGAGTCGTGTTAGCGAGTCGTGTCAACTTTTGCCGCCCATAGAGAACATTGAAGATATAATATATAAATAAAGGAAAGAAAATAAATAAATGGCATAAACTGCAAAAGTTGTATTGTTAAAGTTCAGGTCATTCAAGATATATATATATATATATATATATATATATATATATATATATATAATGTTGGGAAACTAAACATTGGACAAAAGTTACAGATTCTCACATCTTTAGGAGATGGACAACATAATATGATCTAATGTACACAACAAAAGTAAAATAAAATAAAAAATAAAAACAGTAACCACTGGATATGTTTCTAACAGCCTTCATTTCTCCTAAACATATCCACGAAGGAAACAGGATGTGATTGAAACTAGAAAAAACAAAAACAAAATTCAGCTCTCAAGACCTGCGTGACAAGTAGTCAAAATGAAAGGAAATCCTGAAGTCTAACCAAATAGGATGAATTATCCCCTTCCTGGCATTCATTTTCTCCCTTAACTGAAAATAGGCTCTCCTTGTAGATAACAACCTTAAGACAATAATTTATTCCTCGAGCTCCAACATTCTTAAATTCATAGGTATTATGGTCGTACAAAACCAACTCAGTGTTGCGGTCTAGAAAAAGTTCACAATTTTTCCATAAGCCAACCAGCCTCGCAATATCTAAAAGGGGTCCAATAGTCAATTGTTTAGTCCAAAACCCCTCCTCCTTCATCAGCCATATGTCAAAATATTTTTCAGCCTCACGTGGTTCATAAAGCATCAAAGCAATAGAGTCAATGTACAAGGCAAGATCACCCCATTGTGTATTGGGAAGATTTGGTGGTGGAGGTATTTCTTGGAAAGTCTCTTTGCTCATGTCAAATGAAAGGACCTTATAGTTATAAAAATTGTGACTCGTAAGCCAGTAATAAAGCCCATTCACATATGTGTTAGACAAAGAATTATCTATTGAACGATCCGGCTGCAAATGGGCCTCAAAGACTCTCCAAGAGTCAAGACCTAGCGTATACACTGTAACAACTCTAGGATTATATGGATTATCTTCTTCCTCATCCCAAAAATGTCGAATTAAAACCACCTTGTATTTGTTGGTTACAACATCAAACCCAAATCCAAAAGTATGAATGAAGGGCTTAAAAGGAGGAGGAAGGGGGTGGGGTACAGAAAGGGGTTTAAATTCTCTCATAGAAGGGTTCCACAGAGCTATGCGGTCATGATCCCGAACCTTACCGTCATACAAACAAAGAATTCCATCAAAGGGACCAATAATAGTTTCTTGATAACCCATCATTTGAACAAGATCATGATATACCAGGGGCGCCCTTGCAAGCGTTTCATAGGAAAATAGACCAAAAGCATATCTTTCAGTGTTGTAATCATAATGCTGAACAAATAGACGGGCATTGTTGATGTCATGATGCTTCTTAATGAAACTAGAGTCTTTTATTACAATGTACCAACATTTGCAAACACACCTGAATCTAATCACCGATTTCACAGGCAACCACGAGAGAATCTCAATTATCACATTTTCCGGCATATGATGACTACAACTGATACTTGCCATTGCCACTCTGTCAACTAATCACATTGCTTCTCCTAACACAGCAAAAAAAATTCTTTCATAATTAAACCAAAATATAATAAACTAGTTTGATCATTTTATTCATCAACATAATAAAAAAGCCTGAAAGGAGGAAAGAAAGAGGAGGTTAAACACATAAAACACAAGCAGACAGATATATATATATATATACATTTGTATATTAAATAACTCATACAAAATGAATCAAACCAAAAAAAAAAAAAGAAAAAAGCAAAAGATGAGTTGAGGAGTTATTAGGCTTCTAGCTATTAGGACCATAAAAGAAATTTCCTAATTCAGACAAAATGACAATTGCAAGCAATGCGAAAAATTCATGGATATAAACACAATATAGTTTTAATTCTTGATTTATAATTATGGGCGAAACCACTGAGAAAGGATATATTGACAGCTAAAGACATTAAAAAACCACCGCTTCTCTTCCCATCTACCAAACAATGGGTGGTGTCAACTCTTTCTTTCCATTCAACCAAACAAAAGAAGGGAAAACACCTCTCTTTCTAGGGATGCCTCTTCTTTGTATCTTTTGGTGCACTTTTCATCCCACCTACCAACTGTAAAGCATAGATACTTTTATAAATAGGATGCACGTGAATGAAATATCATATTTGTGTCAGATACCAGCTCTCTTCGGATTTATGCAAATTCTCGTCCAATACTTCTTAAACATATTCAAATTTTGAAACTAATTTTCTTATTTCTAACGTGTATGTGATACTTTTCACATACTTCTGTTATGTATCTGAGTACTTCAAGACACATATTTAATAAGTTTTGGACATTAAAGTATACTCCTTTCAAGTATAATATCATAATATAATATGTTAAGCTCTGAAGATGAAAATTTGATATTCATATCATGACTAATTTTTTTTTATCCTTCATATCATGACTAATTAGTCTAGCTAAAATTCATGAAAAACAACTATCAAATCTTAGCTTATTTCTAATAGTTCTTTTGTTAGGAAATGATAACAACAATATATGAAACATAAAAAAACATTTACATATCTATATTATACAACATATATTTATATATAGATATGTATTTATCCGTCCTTGCCTTATAGGCTTATACGTCCTATAAAATTTTAAAAAAAATTCTGTCACCATTCCCCTATTGTGTGTCAATATCCCGTGACTATGTCCATACTTCATAGCCTACCAAAAAGAACATTAGTTATTTAAGATTACATAATACCATAAAAAGAGAGCAAATCTATAGTTAACATTTCGAAAGATCATTCTTTTACATAAATGGGAAAATGTTCATAAACCTGGCCCAATATAGTGACATGCACACGTGACTACTTGATACTTGACTCCAAGACTAGAGATAGTGGATGGGGGAGAAAAAGTTTCTTTAAAATCCTTTCAATTCATAATAAAGAAATAGAAGAAGGAGAAAAATATAACAGAAAAAGAAAGCACACAAAAAAAATGCTAATAATGTAGCTGTACATGTAAAAAGTACAATTAGGGATCCTAGATCATGTTGTCCTAGTAGAAGTTTGACACCATATACTTACCATAAAAAGGTACTTCACTACCACAAAACCAAGATCCATTTGAGGCGCAATCTCATATTGCATCTCCTCGTTTCTAACAAGCAAATGAGGAAATATGACAATGTTCTCTTAGCACAGGCTTTTTGAATCTTCATGTTAATCATAGTAGTTAATTGAAAAGTTTACCAAGACAATTAGGCCACACTTCTTGTTGGGAAAAATAGAAACTACTATTATAGTTGTACCTAAATCACAAGAAATTTTTGTTAACTTGTAACAACTCTGCATTTTTCATGAAAGAAAATACTTCCCCTATCTACTAGGCTTAAAATAAATTTAGTGAAACCCCTCGAGTTTTGCATGCAGATATATTGTGTTTGACCATTCCTACTGTACAAGTATTGTCTGCTTGGGACCTTGTGTCCTAGCGCATCTGACACAGTTAGGAGGCATCCATATATATAAGTGTCATAATTCACCGTGCTGTGTAAATATTGTCTGCTTTACATACTTTTTGTATTCGTGATTTTCAAAACATATCTACAAACATATCCACACATATAAGTGTCAGGATATCTCTCCATCCCATCCCCGGCAAGAGAGATGATGATACTTTCCAAAAAAAAAATATTTTCTGATGATGATACTTTCCAAAAAAATATTTTCTACTCATGAAAGCTAAAAAAACAACTTATGAACTTGGAACAACATAAAAAGACAACTAGCGGGGAATTCGTTTTCTAACTGAAGAATGGAAGAAATTAGATTCAACTTTCAAGATTAGAAAATTTTTTTTTTACTGAATTTCAGTTGTATACTTTTTCCGAAATTGGATCTGAGTATTTGTTTTATTACACATTTTTTCTATTTATTCAGCCAGAAATAAATAGATACACACACATAAAGATATATATACGTGTGTGGGAGAGCAAAATAAACTTCCAAATTTGCAAACTAAACCCTAATTAAAATAAAAATTGTGGTAAAAAAATAAATAAAAAGGCAGCTGAGTGCACAAGGTTCTTGTCATTACTAGGTTAGGATAGAGTCTGTTGTAAGCAGCCTGCCACACGAGGAAATGATGTTTTCGATTTTAAACTCATGACCTCCTGGTTGCAATGGAGCAACATTGTCATTTTGCCATATAGAGTAACATATAAATCAAACACATAAAGCAAGGTGAAGCAAAAACAAATCCAAATACTTACCACAGTTCCGGAAGAAAAAAGATAAAAAGGAAAAAATTTGTCATAAACTATGTTTCTTATTACCGTAATTGTCTGTTATGCTTTTGAAGCATTAATTTTTCTTTTTGATAATTAAGCTCTATTGAAAAAAAAAAAAAAAAATTTGAAGAAGAAGAAGGAATATACAAGAATCAAGAGGGGCATACTCACTACAGTTTTGTTTAAGTTATTATCATGGTATTGTGATTCAAATGTTTTATATATACATAAAATTCTTTTAATTTGAGGGTGCTTTGGCGCAATGACAAGGTGAGTTGTGACCTGCAGGTTAGGGTTCGAAACAGGAACCATCCCTCTCCGCCTAGCCTCATGCGGTCTCTACAATCATTACTAGTTCAATAATTCAAGTGGGAAAAAAAATCAGATAAAAAAAGAAAAAAATCACACACATTTCAACCATGATTTGGCCAGATTTATAATTCATCTGAGCATAATTAATGTATATTCAAATCATGATAATCTATACAGAAAATCTCCATCAGTTTTTTTCTCAAATTAACCTCAACTGAAACTAGAGAAATAAAAGATCTCATATATATATATATATACACACACACACGCACACTACATATATAAAGATATATATATACATAGAGAGAGAGAGAGAGCAAGAGGGAAAAAAGTCAGATAAAAAAAGAAAAAAATCACACACATTTCAACCATGATTTGGCCAGATTTATACTTCATCTCAGCATAATTAATGTATATTCAAATCATGATAATCTATACAGAAAATCTCCATCAGTTTTTTCTCAAATTAACCTCAACTGAAACTAGAGAAATAAAAGATCTCATATATATATACACACACACACACGCACACTACATATATAAAGATATCTATATACATAGAGAGAGAGAGCGAGAGGGGTACCATGGCATCTTCTGGTACGGGTTAAGAGCCATGTGAGATGAGATAAAGAATGAAGGGGGAAAGATGAGGGATTAGAGATCTCTCGTACAAATGCAGGCGTGAAGTGGGAAGGAAATTGTTGTTAGTCCTCGTGTAATGGGCCGGCGCTTTAAGGGTCTGTATATGCCATAAGTCTTTGCTCATCGGGATATTGGAATAAGTCCGAGCTCGTAATGTCATTGTTAATAGCGAATCACTCGTCTTCGCATGCAAGGAGTCACTCGTCTTCTCACGAAAGGACACGTTAACGACTTGAACCCAAACTTCACCGAATGGATGCACCTGATTAAATATTGAATACCACAGTAACCAAGCTATCTCACTGACTCAAACATTTAAAACCGTTGTATGCCACCTATACAATTACAAATCGTTTCCCATGAAGATAATGGTATTCTTGCCCCAAAATAATGGTTTATTATAAAGCTTTAATACAGATATAATACTAATATATTTTTTTTTCGATAATTAAGGATTTGCATAAAAGAGAAAATAAATATAGGGATAACGAGGGGTATGCCCCCCGGCCCAATGAGGTTGGGCTAAAAAAGAGAGAAGAGAAATCCACAAAGTGGCCTAACAGATATGAAAATAAATCCATACAAAACAAAGATTGCACTTAGCACTAAATATATCCACTCAGGCACATACTAACCCAATCAAAGACATGGCCATGAAAGATCAACAACTTAGAGCATCATACCACGGGGTACTGTGGGGGCGGCTGTGGGGGTGGCTGCGAGGGTGGAGGGGGTGGTCCATGGAGGTTGTGGTTGTTTGGAAATGTAAAGAAGGGATTCATATGGGTTATATCAAAGAAAGATGATGGGAGGCTTGATTCGGTTGCAATTTCTTCAGCAAAGGGGTACTCACACATTTTGACAGAGAACAACTTGATTCTAATTGCATTCACTACTACATTCAAAGTATGTAGAGGCGGTGAGGATTTATCCCTGAACATTCTGTTGTTCCTCTCTCTCCACACATGGTAAACATAGCTTGCCAAAGATAGCTTCCATATCATGACTCTACTTCTTTTCAATTTTTGCTTCCAGTTAGATGATACCCAAATCAGAAACTCCTTCCATGAATTATGTTTGGTGTAGAAGCCACTTTTATGTTGGAGGCCACTCCATATAATTTTGGAGTACTCACATTTGTGAAACAAGTGCTCATGGATCTCTGCATCTTTAAGGCATAGTATACAAACATTGGGTTGCATTTAATAGAGGAGAGCTGGCTTATTTTGGGTGAGCAATCCCTCTTGAACAAATAGCCATAGGCAAAATGAGTGCTTTGGTATTGCATTTTTGAACCAGACCAGTTTATGCCAGTGAGTTGGTAGGATAGGTTGTGTGATCATGTTGTGATGTCAATTTTTTGGAAAAAAAAATTAAATTTAAATAGTTCAAAATATTTAAATTTGATTCTAAAAATTGCTGAACATGGCTATTTTTTATGTGTTCGTGCGATATTAAACTTGAGTTATAAATTCTTTGATAAATTCCAGTGAAGTCTCGAAGGGTGTCAAAGAAGTGTATGAAAGTATCTGTAAAATGTCTAAAATAATTAATTTAAAAAAAAAAAAAAAAAACTATAGACATGTCTATAGATTGTTGAATAAGACGGTTCCTTCTTAAAAGTGTTTGTGCTTTTCTGCAAAGCAATTTATTTATTTTTTTTTTTCAATGCTTGAAACACACTAACTCACTCACTTTTTGCTCATATACTTGAACCCTCATCTTCCAAAGGGAAATACCACTAGGCTGCACAACCTTTAGGCCTAGTTTGGTACGCATGAATGAAATGAATGGGAATGGAATGAAGCTAGGAATGTAATAGTTATTCTTATTCTCTTGTTTGGTTCCAAATATGAAATAATGTTGGAATGAATTGATAATTACAATTCTAAATGGTGGTGGTAGTGGCGGTGCGGCGATGGTGGCGGCAAAAGGAGATGGCAGTAGAGGAAGGTGGTTGCGACAACGGTGTGGTGGAAGGCAGTGGAGGAAGGTGGTGGCTGAAGGTGACGGTGGTGATGGAAGGCTGTGGCAGTGGCGAAATGCGGTGGTGGTAGCGGAAGGCGATATGGTGAAAGGTGGTGGTAACAGTAGCGGCGGTGATGGCAATGTGACATTTCGTAAATTTTGGTAATTTTTTCAATTTTTCATAAATATTTTATTTTTTTGCATCGTTTTGCTTGGCGTGCACCGTCTATAGTGTCGTGTGGGTCCTAGAGTTAGTTTAGGATATTTTTTTGAGTTTAGAACTCTTAGAAATGTATTTTGAGTCATTTAATATTTTTCATGTTCGGGAGTATTTTTGCATTCATTGCATTCCATAATGATTCTTTGGTGTGTATGTGTTTAATTATACAAATGTGGCATGTTATAGTATATGTTTCATATGAGGGGCATTTTAGACTATTGCTGGTGAAGGGGACCAAGGTTGACCAAGACCATGACTTTGTAATAACCCGAACCTGGTGTCCGAATCTCTAAGCGGCTCCTTGATCAAACCCGAGATCATTTAAGGGAAAAATGGTCTTTTCAAGTCATAAATATGGAATACGATCTGTACCATTAGAAAGATGACTAAAAAACGTGCAATTTAGACTCAAGAATGACTTCATTTTGGGTTTGAAATGAAGAAGTTATAATTACATGAAGTTTGGTTAACAAGCGGTAAAGTTTCCAAATCTGGAATTTGGGATCGATCTCAAGAATTTTGGGATCGATCCAATGAATGGGTTGGGATCAATCTCAAGAAATTTGGGACCGATCCCAAGGGTTATGGGATCAATCCTAGAAACCCAGAGTTTATTTTTCTGATCAATTAAAAGTGGTTATCCATCTTGAATCAATGTATGGTCATTTGGAACATATGAAACCTATCCCAACAACTATTTATACATAGTCACATTGATGTAATACATTCATACATTGAAATAAGTTCCATTACATTGCTCAATAGTTACAAAATATAATTGAGTTTACAAAACAACTTCGTCATAAGGAAATAGGTTCGAATACATCATCTAGTGTCTCATAAGCCTTAAGTTAGCATGGAAATCAAGTGGAGACATCAAAAGAGATTAATTAGGTCTCAACCTCATTTCTACTCAAAAATGGATACAATGGTTAATAATTACAAAACTATCAAAATAATACAAATTTGATTACAACTTTCATATTCGCCAAAATATACTCCATTACATAGTCTAAATTCCAAGTTTAACAAAAGACATCAATCAATACATCAAGTGTGAGATTGTGGGTCATCCATAACTTCTTTTTAAGGTTTCTGTGCGTACGTGCGATTTTGGGTTTATCAACTTCGATTTCTTGTGTTTGTTTGGTGGGCTGTGTTGAAGACTGAACGAATTTAGGTCTGTGTTGAAGATTGAACGAATTTGACTTAAAGGAACTGTGATGTACAACGTGCTCTAAGAAGTGTAAGAGTTCTTACTATAGCAAATCTTTCTTTTAGTTACAAAATCGTTAATTTGTGTAATATATTGATGTTATTTGTTTAGTAGAGTTATTGGATATGAAGTTTGATTCGATTTCTAGGGTTTCTGATTTCTTTTATGGAATTTTTTGGTACTATGTCAGCACAATAATTGTGCTTTTGGCATGTATGTTCATTTTTTTTTTTGGAACAAATGAAACAAACATATATATATATATATATATATATATATATATATATATATAAATCAACTTACCTTGGAGCGCATATGAAAATTGAAAAGAGAGCAAAAATGGGTTTGATTGGAACAAACGAATGCAAAAACCTTTTTGTAGGATGAGGGGTATAACGGTCATATTGAAGGTTACTTTCGGTATTGATAAAAAAATATCAATCATCTGCATTACAATATGGACGGAAAGTGGCTGGAGATGAAATTCAAGGGGGCAATTTGCTAACTTTTGAAATTATAGGGACTGATTTGCTTCCTTTTAAATCACAAGAGGGTACTGTACTCATTTGGTGAAACCTTGGTTTTTTTATTTTTTTATTTTTGCACTTTTGCCTATATAAAAAATAAAAGTTGGTTATAGATGCAATCTAACTTTAAATGCATGTAAGAAATGTATGCATGACCAACATGGTGACAGATGATAACAAGTGGGATTCTTACCTTTTTAACCCCAGGCCTGAAAACAGGACATTTTTATCCTTTTTAGATAAAATTTGACATTCTTGTCATTTGATGTAGTTTCTTCAGCAAGTGCAGTATTCACACATAATTCCATCTAACTAATTATTTTTAAATCACTCACTAAACATATAAAAATTGCATATCATTGAGTGAGGCTTGTTCCAATAATCTTAACATCCAGGTTTCAAGACAGGTGGAGATGAGAAAATATGTACATGTATAAGAAGTTTTGAAAGCAGAATATGAGGATGTAAGCAAATACCTAAAGGAAACATAAAACACCAAGTGAAAACTATGAATATGTTAAAAAGGATCCATGTGAAATGTTTTGCATTCAGACTTTATAGGAATATAATTGAAAGTAGAACCACATGAATTCTTTGTCAGATAAAAGAGAGATGCATTGAACTCTCTCTAGACTTCATACCTCAATGTGAAGGGTGCCATCCATACCATCTTATAGAATTGGACATTCCCATTTTTCAAAGAGGTGAAATTTTGCTAGATTTTTAGTTAATAATGCTAGGAGCTAGGCTCAATCATAATGAAAGAGGGAAAATTTAAAAAATGACAACTAATGTCGAGTATGTTCCTTAGCTTCTCTTCCTTTCCCTATCACTTAGTGTTGCTCCAGCAAAGACATGTAAGAAGGATACAAGATCCAAAAAAATATAGTTAGAAACACTTTCTTCATCAACTGACTATCAAGATGTACAGAACTCTTGAATCATATTAGATGAATTATACTCATCCCTGAATTCATTTTGTTCCCTCAAAGAAACTAAACTCTGCTTGTAGTTACAAACCTTAAGGCAATGCTCATATCCTCGAGGTCCAAGAACCTTGGTTTCTTGGGTATTAATGTTGTATAAGAGCAACTGTTGAGTTTTATTAGTTTCTAGGAAAAGCTCACCATTTTTCCATAAGCCAAGCGGTCTGTCAATGTCTAGAAGGGGTCCAATAGTTAATTGCTTGTTCCAGAGACCCTCATCCTTCATCACCCATATTTCGAAGTATTTCACCTCCTCAGGTGGATCATAAAATACCACAGCAATTGAGTCATTATACACAATAAGACCCCCCCAATAATATCTGGGAAAATCTAATGGCAGCTGTATCATTCCGAAAGTCTCACTGCCCATTTCAAATGAAATAATCGTATACTTCAATGAATTATCACGATCTATCCAATAATAAGTTCCATTAATAAGCCCGTCACTAAAAGTATTATCTACACAATAATTTTCAGGCAAATCAATCTCAATCATTCTCCAAGAATTAGTACCTAGGGTATATACTACAACAGTTGGAGGAAAATACATGTTTTTTATCCGGTCATCATAGAAATACCGAATCCAAACCACCTTACACTTATTGGTTAAGGGGTCCAAACCAAATGCAAAACTATTCCAATTGACGCTGAAATAAGGCGGAATGTTTTCTTGGGGCCTAGGGAGGAGCCTGAAATCTCTCAAAGCCGGGTTCCACAAAGCTATACGATCCCCACCATCAAACAAACATAATATGCCATTAACAGGACCAAGAACATATAACAAATCTCTAGACATTTGTAAGTCATTAAGTTCATGATATAATAGTGGTATGCTGTCAAGATTTTCATCGGGGAATAGGGTGAAAGCAAATTTTTCAGTGTTGAAATTGTAGTTTTCAACAAGAAGATGGACATTGTTGTTGCTGTGGTGGTGCTTTATAATGAAACTAGAGTTTCTGATGACAGTGTACCAATATCTACAAACAACCCCTAATCGAATCAAAGATTTCACAGGTAGTCTCGATAATATCTCAACTATTAAATCTTCAGGTACAACATGTTCAGCACTATTGCTCGCCATTTTACCTCTATTGAACTAGAGTGTCATCAATTCTTTTCCCTGACAAAAGCACAAATTTTTTTTGTAAAAAATCAAATAATGAGGAATTGATCGGGTTGTTAGCTCAACATAACAAAAAGGTATAACATGATGGAACGAAAAGAAAGAGGGAAAGGTGCATAAGATTGTTAGGCATATAATATGTGTGTATATTAATATCGGCATCTAAGAACAAGATGAATCTTATCAAATATTTAAGAACAAACCAATCAGCAGTTAAGAGATCAATCGGAACTTTCAAGCCTTTTGGTGGGAGTAGAAAAGGAGAGTTAGAGCTCATTTCCACAGAAGGCAATGGTGAAGAATTTCCAGGTGTATATATATATATATACAAAGGCTCCATTCCAAAATTTTACAGAGCCACATTCCAAGAGACCACTCTAAGTTTTTGCAGAAAATTGAGAAACCATTAGATTAATATATAGAAATTCAATGACTGTTTTCTTATGGTAGTTGCTAGCATTTATTGATGGTAAACAATTGCGGTAGATAATAGCATCCACTATGCCTACTGTAGTATAATCGTACATTTTTCAAAAGCAACAATATTTTACTGCTAGAAGATGTTATATTTAGAAAATATTATTATAGGAACCCTTAAATTACTTATTGACAGAATATTTGATATGAGAATATCATAGGAGAGATTTTAGCCTATGATAGAATATTGATTGGAGTGATTTATGGTATTGATTTTAGGAATCTTCCATTAATGTATTTTCTATATTTATGACCTCAATTCGTTCACCTATTAATAGAGGTGATCATTGTATACAAAAATTAAGAGAAAATATATTATAAAGTGATGTAGACATTTGTGCTCTTTATGCCGTGAATGCAGGCCCTAGTGGCTGAACCACGTAATATTCTTGTGTTATTATTGTTTCATTTCTCTCTTTACTTTCATTTTATGCTTTACAACATGGTATCAAAGCCTAATTTCTCTTCCTAGTCCCTATTTTGGGGTATTCCCTTAGCATCTGAAATGTTGTTAAGGGTTTCTCGGTGCTATTTGTGCCTTGTTTGGGCTGCCGGTTTGTTCGGTGGTAATGTTTTCATCTTTGTCGTGTCTCCGGCAGTTTTTATTGACTTGTTTGGGCAGCCGGTGTGTTCGGTAGCATTGTTCGTAACCTTCGCCATGTATTCGGTGCTATGTGGACTTGTTTGGACTACCGGTGTGTTCAGTAGCATTGTTCTTCGCATTCAACGTGTCTCTAGCAGTTTTATTATCTTTTTCCAAATCGTTAGATGTTTCATGATTTGATATGCAAGCTGAGTGTTATTTTCATACATCATTCAGCTTGAGGGAGAGTGTTGAAAGATGTTATATTTGGAAAATATTATTATAGGAACCCTTAAATTACTCCTGAATATTTGATATGAGAATATCATAGGAGAGATTTTAGCCTATGATAAAATATTGATTGGAGTGATTTATGATATTGATTTTAAGAATCTTCCATTAATGTATTTTTCATATTTATGACCTTATTCTTTCACCTATAAATAGAGGTTATCATTGTATACAAAGATTAAGAAATAATGTATTATAAAGTGATGTACCTTTTTGGACTCTTTGTGCCGTGGATGTAGGCTATAGTAGCTGAACCACGTAATATCCTTGTGTCTTCGTGTTTCATTTCTCTCTTCACTTTCATTTTTTGCTTTATAATATTTACTAATAGAGGCTTGTCAAATGTGACTTTCTTTTGGTTCAACACATGTTAACTTTTAATTATTAAGTTGGTGGTGAAATCTGAATACATGACCTTGCCTGCTATAATACCATGGTAACTAACAACCATAAATTTATACTAAAAGTTTAAATTATTAAAGAGGGTGCAAGTTTAATATTTTAATCCTTCAACAAACTTCCCAAATAATAATGATGACACTCTTTGTACTAGTTGTACACACGTTTAGAAGCAGCAAATCGATCAACAACAACATTTTGACACTTAACAACCCGCAGATAACAAGATAGCATTTTCTACTTATCTAAGAATCAGCGACACTACGACACTTCTACGAAGGTAACATGTCCATGTTGGACACTCATATTTAATTTAATGGACACGATACTTTATGACCGTGTCCATAATTTAAAAATAATTTATTTTATTTCCAAAACTTAGCTGACATTTAGTACATGTCACTCTATGTAACCAAAATAAAAAAATAAAAATAAAAAAACAGAGTAATATCATATATAATTTTTTTTTTATATAGTAAAAAAGTTTCATGTTCTACCTTATATAACTTTAGTATAAAATTAAAAATTAATTAAGTCTCTATAATTCTCTTACTCAATAGATATATAAATAAAAACTAATATTTATGTTAGTCATGTCCATGCAGTGTCCATGTCTAACATGTATCTATGCAGTAGTGTGTCGCTCTTCCGTTTGCATGTCCATGCTTTTAGTTTATGTTTTTTTTTTTTTTTTTTTTAGCTAATCGGGTTATCCGGGGCTTTGCTCCAACTAAATCCCCAGAACACCTTGCAAAACGCCCACTCTACACGGGTAGAGTACAGCTCGGGCTTTCACCCAATGGGATGACCTAAAAAATTGTTTGCACTCAATTGGTCGAACCTTAGACTTATGCTTGATGAAACACATGCCCAAGTGACTTAGCACTTCAACCACCCCCATGGGTTATCAGTTTATGTTATGCTTGTGATATATGGCTATTACACTACATATAGCCACAATCCAAGTTAACCATTGTAGCAATCAATAGCATAATTAAAGCTCTTCAAAATTGATTTAGCAAAAAATAAACGGAATATTACTAGCCAAAGAATTTTTTAAAAAAAAATAGAAGGAAAAAGAATGGTAAGCAAAATCAATAAAATCCTTTTAACCAGTACCCAAAGGCTTCTGAAAACATTTGAAATTAACTCTATAAGCAATATATACAATCTCCGATTGATTAACAGTAATTTTATGCAGTACACTCCTATTATATCCATTATCCACTAGTTTCTTCTTTGTCATCATTATCCTTGCCTATTCCAAATGGAATTGGCCACATGAATCCACTCATTTCCTCTACTATAATCAAACACCATGATGTTCACCTGGCTGCATTTTGATCTTGGTGGATATTAGGCTTCATTTGATGTTTGGCAAAAACAAAGCTACAATCATGATTGTACCTAGATCACAATAATTCTGTTTGAAACATTTCTATACCTTTTCATAATAGAATAGATTTTCATTTTCTTCTTTTGGATTGAACATGTTTAATTTTCCAGAAGGAAGTAGGCAGGATGAGTAATCAAACCTCATTTTTCACATTCTAGGTTACAAATATATATTTAAAAAAAGCAGCCTCATCTAACATTCGAAGAATGATTATTTAAACAAATCCTTTAATAAATATGGAAATTTTACTTACCGAAAAAATATATATATATATATATGGAAATTTCTTTTGGTCCATAGATTAGCAATTTAGCACATCTTTTTAGCTAAAAGAAATCCACAGACATGCAACTGTTTAAGAAATATATACTTGTGCAGTTTGAATATACTATAAGCAGGAATTCTAATCAGATCTTACTGGAGAAAAATTTCTCCAAACCTCCCCAATCAATAATATCTCAAGCAGGAAGTCTAAATATAAGAAAAATAACACTATAGGAAACTTTTTTTATTTAGTGTATTTCTACGTCGAGTCAAGTGATTAGAGGGGACTTATAATTTAGATATAGCTTTTTTGTATTAGCTTGCTAACACACAACTACAGCATGCAACCTTATCAGTTTCGAAACAAACAAACAAGAAAGGTAAAACAACAGTATTAGGGAATTACATTCACCTTATAAGTTGCAGAAAAATTGCCATGATTTTATTTGGATACAAGTGGAATGCATCATTGAACCACACATTACTAGAATCTTCATGAAAACTACAAGTAAAAACCATAACCAATACAAATTCATATGCATATTCGACCTTCTTGACATTTTTCAAATGTGAATCTATAAGTCGCCTAACAAGTTTCGAAAGCTAACCCAATCAAGTATCCTAAACTGAACCCCTAGATCTGTAAAACAAAGCCTAGGATAATTAGATATTAGGATCCTAATCACATTCCTAAAGCAAATATCCCTTCAGTTTGCATACAAACAACACAACAAGCTAGATTAATAAATAATTGAAATCTTTATAATGCATTTACAAAACCAAAAGGAAAACAGATATGGAGTGTGGAGTAGATTAACATTTCATTTTATCATTCTGTCAAATTAGTAGTATGGAGTAGGTTCCTCTTCACCCTTTATTGAAAATCAAGTTTTGTTTTCTTTTTGTTGGAAAACTTCAACAATTTCTTATCATTGGGCCTTTGCCTAACAGATCAATAAATGAACTGCATACAAAGTTTTCTTAAAAGAATTTATAGGAACATTATATATTTTTGTGTGTGTATATATATGCACTGCTATAACTATCATCATGAGATCTATCATTGTGTAAAAGTTTTATTTCAAGAAAAAACAAAATCATAAGAATTTCAATTTATGAAGTGGTCAACGGAAAGTTTTCAGATCTAACAATGATTGATATAATATTAAAAAATGTCGGGACAATATGTCCAAAGGAATTTTGATCATTATTCTAATGATGATAATAAAAATATCGGAGAAAAAGAGAGTGATATACCATTGGGTTCCAATATGGGGCAAAGCTCTGCAAAATTAGTTGAAAGGCGACGAGAGAGATGAAAACAAAAGTGAGGAGTATCCTTGAAATTGGAAAGACTTGAAGAGGAAATTATTGATCCCGGATATAATCAGCCTTAAAGGCTAAAAAAAAAAAGCAGGAGGAAAACATGGCAATGAAGAGAATTTGAGGGGTAAATAATGGTTGAGAGAATTTGAGGGGTAAATAATGGCTGAGAATTTTCTTAGCCTTTAAGGCTGATTATATCCGGGATCAATAATTTCCTCTTCA